TATTGTACATAGCACTTCGGCAGAATGTCTCATATAAGGTCGTATTCGCTCATATAAGGTTAGCATTTCGACAGTAGTTTCCAAATGTTATGTCAGAAAGAATATCCTCTGCAACAGTGAAAATTCTGATGCAACGTTGACCAAAAATCCAACGAAAACGCGAAAATCCAGGGTTCTGCGCAGGCGCAGTACGTTCTGCCGACGTGCTACCACAATTCAGCAACGACATCTTCTCAGCATACCCTAGCCTCCTGTGCGGGCTCCGGGCGCCGGGTGGGAATTTTGATCCTGCTTTTTGACGCCTTATTTTAAATGCCACACCAATCATTTTGTATCATTTTTGTACCAGTCCAACAAAAATATACCAGCAAAGCCCGATAAAAAGACTAAAACACGCCAAAACTAAAATAACCCCCATATCTCTGCTTGGAGAGTAGTACATGTAGAAATGTAGCTTGTACAACGAAAAAGTCAACTGTGACTTAATAGAATGATAATATCTATGTTTCCCTACTTTATACACCTAAGAAATGCAGTCAAATTCTCATTTCTAAGTAACTTAGACAAACCACTGATCCAAAAACGTACATGCATTTATTCTTACCTTTTTATCATCACAAAGAGGCGATGAGAAGTCAATAGACTATAGAGCTAGTGCTAGTTTGATCATGTATCTGTATCTGTTTAGCTGGTATAACCGCCCTTCGGTGTTATTTTCAAGTAAGTTGAAGTCTTAACCAGGTCATAGACCCCTGACTTTTTTTTTTTTGACGCGCGGCGCCGGTGCAGTTACTTCCGCATTCGTTGCATTTCGCTGCGGTTTGATGCGTTGCACAAGAAACACCCCCAAATGGTACATACACAGGGCACTATATACTCTACAAGCAGAGGTTTGGGTTTTGGGGGTATTTTTAGCGTGTTTTTAGGCTTTTTTATCGGGGTTTCTCTTTTGCACTGAAAGAGAAACCCCGATAAAAAAGCCTAAAAACACGCTAAAAATACCCCCAAAACCCAAACCTCTGCTTGGAGAGTAGGCACTATATACTAGGGCTGCGGACCGGTACACTGTACCGGTCCAATACCGTAAAAATCGTTTCGGTACAGGTCCAAAATACCGGATCATGAAGTAACGAGTATATACCGAAATAGCTAGTTTACACCATGTATATGACTAAAGATAGGTAAATCCTACCACAAAGACGAAAAATTAGCACTGGAAAAGACGTAAACACCGTCGATTGATTTGAGATCCTCAGTCTCACGAGACATCGCGAGAGTGTGGCTGATCCAGGGTTGTGATTGGTCAACAAACTCAAATCAGGTCAGAGGTCAGTCATTTTCCCTTCCCTCCAACACTTTATTATTGTTTCTGTGTCATGATTGAAAAAGTGAAGAACACGTGTTAATTTGTCAAATTGTTCAGGTACAGGTACAGGTCCGGACCTGTACCTAAACCTCTGTACCAGTACCTGTACCTGTACCTGATGTTACGTTTAGGTACGCAGCCCTACTATATAGATGGTACTGTGTGTGCAACCCATTTATGTATGGGTCCCGCAGGACAAGGGTTTTAACAGTCACCGGCTGTGTACGTAGCATGTATATACAATCCGTTATTTTGCTGTAACCTAGTCTGTACTGTACCTTGCTCACTGACAGGATGAATGATTGTACAGTTCATTAAATAATGAGGGTCAATGATAGCCCCGCTCTAGTTGAGCAGCATAACCCCATAGCTAAACCTAACAAATTACACCATTATCCGCCCACGTTTACATAACGTCATATTATTTATTCTTAGCTTGTCAGTCTTTCTTCGTGACGTCCATGAAGGGGTAGGTTTGCGGTCAACCGTTCAGTAACAGTCATTCCTACCGGGAAAACACTTTGTTACAGTTATACACACGTCCGCAGGCTACAACAGAACTGCCAGGGCGGAACAGGAAGTGACGTACGTACATTGTATTACTCGTACCAAACCCGTGCATTTCCAAGTACTAAGCTACAGTAGTCTGTGTGTGGGTGTGTTTCTTGTCAGGTGTAGTGCTAGAAACAACTCAACTGCCAGGGCTGAACAGGAAGTGACGTACATTGTATTACCAAACCCGTGTATTTCCAAGTACTAAGCTATGGTAGTCTGTGTGTGGTATGTCAGGTGTAGTCACGACGCAGGGCTAGAAATAGCACAACTCAGCTCCGAACAGTGAGCATTTCTTTCTGGCTGAGCAGTGAGCACAGTTATTTGCGGTGGTTCCGTACGTGAAACTTCCTTTGAGCCTATTTGTGCCAAACCGCGCGGCCATTTATTAGAAATAACTAAAATGTGGTATTTCGATATGCAAACTTCTACACAGTTCAGTTCAGAAGAAGTCAAAAAGTCGACACAAGAAGTCAAAAATCTTCGTGAAAAGCTTCTGGATCTCCGTGAAAAGACCGGGCGGTTGGACCTCACGGAGTCGCGTAGGAAGGAGCTTTTGAACGGAGTTTCGGACTTTGCGGACAAGGCTTTGGGTAAACTTCAGGGGAGCAAGACGAGGATTTACACCGGCGCAGGGGACGCCAACAACAACAATGCCGACAGCAAAGGGATCCGCAGCAGCCCCATACAGGACGAGCCCTTGGACTTGGGTGAGTACTGCTGTCAGAAGTGTAACCTCCTTGGAAGACTTGTGCGGCGGCGGCGTTAATTTTTTTTCGGGGGAGCCACCCGAGTTTTGCCGCGGAGGGTCAGTTTAGCCGCCCAAACTGAAGGGCCTGCATTGGGGGGGGGGGGCGCTCTACGCTAAAATTTGAGAGCCAGCTACGCATTACGCAAGAAGCCTCCCCCATTCCGCTTTACGATAAATTCCGGGCTAAAACGCATTACGTAAAATAAAACGGCGAATTACGCACTACGCAAAATGCGCCAATTACGCTCTACATGTACGTTGAATTAGAGCGCTCCGTCTACGCTCTACGTGGAATTGAAACGGCCTATTACGCTCTACGGAAAAGGGCATGCCGGCCCCCAAACTAGAGCTCCCTCCTCGGCAAAACTAGTGCCACTCCCCCAAAAAAGTTAGCGCGACCGCCGCACAAGTCTGTGAAAGAGGCTAGTCAACACGTAAATGTGTCGATCTGATACTAGTAGTTAGCC